AATGTAAGGAGTACTGGTGAACAAAGAATATGTTAAGCTTTTGGGTAAATTAAAAAATTATTTGCCTAAATCTCAATAACAGAAGGTCAAATTTCTGTTAAAACAAAAATGGGAATAAACTTGAACAACAGTTGGTGTTAAAACTTTTTTTTTTAGAGAAAAGAGATTTTATTCATTTTAACCTTTGTTTATTTAAATGTATATGCAATTACCAAAAAGTATAATAGTCTCTAAACGAGTAAAGATAAATCAATTTATAATGTTAAACCATACAAAAAACAAGAAAAATAAAACTGCAACATAGTCTAAAAGAGGGTGTGAAATGGAAATGAGAATGCACATACAATACAATAGTGAAAAATGTGGTAGACAAAATATGGGAGAAGTGAATCTAAACATATCAGTAACCACAATTTGCATAAACTGACCAAATTTTCTAGGAAAAATTTGTCGAAGTGCATAAAACATTTAAAGAGTTGATTTTTACAAGAGACACACCTAAAACACAAATATAGAAAAAGTAAAGGATTGGCACAAAGGTGTACCAGGACAATGATAACCTATGGAAAGTGTTGTAGTTTTATTAGTATTAGAGAAAAATATATCTTAAGATAGGAAGCATTGCTGGAAATAAACTCAGCCACTTGATAGTGACAAAAGATTCAAATTATAAGACACATTTAACATTTCTAAACCTGTCTGCTTCTATATAAATAAATAAAAACTGTCTGTGTTACAAATATAAATGGACATATTTGACATTATTGTTGTGGATTATAGAAAAACTAACTCAGTACTTCGGACATCAAAAGTGTAAAAAGTTAAGAAAATAGATTTTAATAACCCAATTACAAACTTTATACATATATATATATATAATAAAATCACTGTATATTAGGTTTTCTATGCAAAAATGTATCATAACTTTCCCAACAATCCAATATAATGTCTTGAGAATACACATTCTTTTCAACCACAAATGGGACATTTGTGAAAATTGATAATGTTGTCATTCATAAAAGAAGTCTAAATTAATTCTTAAGAATAGTATCTAAAAATGAAGTTAGAAATAAGTAACAAATTGATATCTAACAAAACCCGTGAAATTTATAATACATACACACCCATGATCTAAAAACATTTTTAAAATAACTGAAATTACTTAAAAGTAAATTATAACAAAAAGTTACTCATCAAAATTTATAGCATGCAGTTAAATTATACTTAGAGGAAAATTAATATCTACATAGTTAAGAAAAGAGAATTACTGACAAAATCAATCAATAAACTAAAGAACAATACAATTAGTCTAAAGCAAGAAACAAGAAATAATAAAAGTATGAGTAGGAATTAATAAGTTAGATAACAAAGATATAATAGGAAGATCTTAAAAAAAAACAAACCGACTAATGTTCGTGTTTGATGAAAAAGGGACTGAGGCTGGCTAAGCTACATTGGGGTGCTTTCTTTCTCTGTCTTTTCTCTCTTTGTATTTGTCTCTGGTGAGCATACATGCCAACTAACTACCTAAGTAAATAAATTTAACAAATTAATGAAAAAATAAAATTACTTAAATTGTCTCAGGAAGAAATAGAACTTTTGAATAATCACTTCAGATCTGAATCTCAGTTTGAATTTTAATGATCTCTAAATTGATCTTTAGACTCAATGCAATTCCTAAAATAAAAAGGTTTTCCTGGAATTTGAAAAGCTAATTATAAAATTCACAAGGAAGAGCAAAGAACTCAAAATAGTCTAGGTGATGTTTAAAGTTCTAACTATTAAGACAGAGCAAGAATAGATAGGAAATGGAATAGAATAATATTCAGAATCACACACGTATGGAGATCTGACATATTATTAAGATGACATTTCACATCAGAGAAGAATTCACAGTGACATATTGTGTTGGGATAATTAGTTTTCTATGTGAAAAATAGAAAATAAAATGAATTTCTATCTTATACCATTCACATAGTATATTCTAGTTAAAAACTTAAGCAGAGAAAGTTAACATTTAAAACTTTTAGAAGAAAATATAAAAATATTTTTTATTGCTTCAGCGCTTTCTTTAAAAACACAAAATGTGCGGGAACCAGCAGTTAGCATAATGGCTATGTCGCTGGACTCCCATGTAGTCGACTGAGGTTCGTGTCCCGGACCTGGTGGCTTAAAACCCACGTCGGGCATGTGTGCGTGCATGCGCAAGATCCCGGGAGGAGAATGGAGGAGAAGGGATTGCGGCGTGGCCATCCCCTCTGGGGGGTGATTTCTCGTTTTCTGTTTCTCTGTCTCTCTCTGTCTGTTGTCTGTCTGGCGAGCGCACGTGCCATATAGTGAAAAAAAAACCTCTCAAAAAAAACAAAAACAAAACAAAACACAAAATGTGCTAGCCACAAAGGAAATTTTAATTACAGTAAGTTAAAATTTTTCTCTTCATTGAAATAGACCACAAAGAAAAAAAAAAAAAAAGCCACAAACTGGAAGAGGATTCAATGTAAAGCATAGAAAATGGATTTTTTTTCCCGAAAAATGTCCTTATACCATAGGATGGATATAACAACAGCAAAAGGATAAAATGACTCTACTTAAGTGAAATTTCAAAGCCAGATAAAACACAACAAAATAAGACAATGCATTCTCTGGTAATACACGTCTATATGGTAAAATAAAGTGAGTAGAGGAAAGATTAAAATAAAGTTGAGAAGAACAATATCTTCTGGGAGGTGGGGAGTACAGGGGACTTTGAAAATACTGGAAATGTTCTAATTCAAAAAGTATATTGGGCTGGCCCCATGGCCTGTGGTTCAGGAAGCCACATTGTTGGCCACAGTTCAAGTCTTAGCCCCTGCAGCTTCAAAAATATCTGGGCACATGTGTGTACATGCACAAAATCCCATAAGGATGGAGTGATGGAAGAGAAGGGACTTTGACTCTGCCCCATTGGAGGAGTGCCTTTTTCCTCACCTCTGTTCCCTCTTATCTCTTTTTGGTAATTAAAAAAAAAAAAAGGGTGCAATAGCTATGTAACTTTTAGCTTTTTCTTTAAACTCTATATATTTATGGTATGCATTCTTTGTATGCAACATTTCACAAAATCTTTTTAAATATTTAATAATATAAATATTATTAATGTAATACTTTAATTGTAGAATTAAGGAGATAGTTTGATAGTTTAGTTCTGGGTATTACTGAATTAGTCTAATTTTCCTTATGATTTAAAAGAAAATATAGGGCCAACTATTGAATAGATGGCATTGTGGTTAAGGTGGCTGGATCCCACATATCTAACTATGTGATTTGAGTCCTAGACCAGTCACCTGAAAAACAAGTGGGCGCATGTGCATCTATGCCCAAAATCCTGAGAGGAGAAGGGAGAGAAAGGATTGTGACATGGCCATCACCCCACCCCGAGGGATGCTTTCTCACTTTTTCTCTCTCTCCTTCTCTGGTGAGCTCAAGTGCCCTATAGCAAATTATAAATAACTAAATAAATACAGAAGAAAACACACCACTATTTTGCCTTAGTATTTTCTTTTACACATATTTTGCTATATCCTTGAAAGACGCTAATGTGCACTGTTTACCAGAGAGTCTTGTAATGTTAAGCCCCAATGTGAATTAGATTTGATGCAATGAATATGAAAGTAAATATGAATTATACCCATGTTGACAACATGATATTCCAGGGGTAGTCCTGGTTTATGTCTCGTTCCTTCACACAATTATTATTATTTTTTCTTTTTTTTTTTTTTGGAGAGGTTTTTGCTATAGGGCGCGTGCACTTGCCAGACAGACAGAGAGAGACATAGAGACAGAAAGCGAGAAATCACCCCCCAGGGGGGATGGTCACACTGCAATCCCTTCTCCTCCATTCTCCTCTCAGGATCTTGGGCACTCACGCACGCACACGTGCCCGGCGTGAGTTTTAAGCCACTGGGTCTGGGATGCGAACCGTGGTCGACTATGTGGGAGTCCAGCGACATAGCCATTACGCTAACTGCTGGTTCCCCCTTCACACAATTATTGATGCCACTCCTTCTCGCTCTGAAAGTGTGCTAGTTCGGATTAAAAGGATGTATTCACTCCTCCTAAAGCTTTCTATTTATGAGGCTAAATAATTGAATATGAATTAGATTTTCTTCATTTACATACTAGGAAGAATTCTGATTCCATTGATGTTCTTCTGTCTCTCTCTCTCTTTCTTTTCTTTTTTAATTTCCCAAAGGGTGTGTACATTCACTGGAGCGAGCGAGAGAGAGAGAAAGTGAGAAAGCACCCCTTATGAGGAATGGGCTGGTCATGCCATAATCCCTTTTTCCATCTCTTTCTGCTTTTGGGATTTGGGGCACACACATACATGCACTTAATGTATCTTCAAACCACCAGGTCCGGGACTTAAACTACACCTCTGGCCATGTGGGATCTAGCTCATGTAACAACCAGGCCAGGGGCTGCCCCATCACTGTTTCCAAAGCAAACTGATATTACTAATAGTTTAAATGCTAATAAATTATGAAAAAATTATGTCATTGTCTGAACGTGTTACTAATTCGGTTGGGTGCATGGAGTATTTCTCCTGCTAATATAGAACAGAGACAGAAATATCTTGTCTGAATTATTTTTCTTTTTGTGCTTACAGATTATATAAGCCTAGAGCTGAAATGAATCCTTTTAAAAACATGATTTTTCAAAAAGTGCCTTACAGAGGTTCAGCTAGTAAATGACACAGTGATTTTAACCCAGGCAGTTTGACTCCAGGGCCTTTTCATCATGTTATTATAAATCATACTTCCCAGGGCATATTTATTGAGATATTGCCCCGGTTTTTTTTTTTTTTCTTCTCTTACCTCACCACCTTTCTTCCCCTTTTTACCACTAATTCTAAAAACAAAATGTAACCCCATAGTTAAGGTTGGGATTAAGGATTCAGACTTACCTCAATTAATAGTATTAATTGAAATGGGGGACAGTGTGGGCAAAACCTTCTAATAACTTACGAGATCTAAGGCAGCGGCCAGGATGGATGCATCAGGAATCGTCCCTGGCTCACAGCAGTTTAACAGAAATTGGAAGCGTCTCATTCCTTGTCGGATTGCTCCAAGATTCACTACATTTTTGCTTTTTCCTCCATCTTGATTGGGGGAGAGATGATCATCAAAACTGTGGCAACCTGTAGGGGTTGTTCCATGGTGGAGGAACAAATGAGAGAGTGTAATGAGTCACACATTTAAAAAGAGCCTCAAAGATATAACAGTGTGTTTGCTATAGTTTGGGCCTGAAAATGTTTCATTTCCCTCTATTCCAATGCTTGATTTGAACTGATTTTGAGAATCTGGTAATATAGATCAGACCCTGTATTTAAATAGTAAGCTAAAATATACATTTGCCCATACACATTCAAACAAATCTAAATGTAGCAAGACTTTTCTATAAATAATATAATACACATTTCTCATTTTTCTTATGTAATGTTATAATATTAAATAAAGCTTTTAAAAACAGCCTAAAGTCCCTTCTTAGAAGTCTGAAGAATTTATCCAACACTCATAAATATACTTCAGAGTGAGAATCACTACTTGAGAGGTCAGCTTAATTGTGCTATCACCATTCATTTAAAATATTAACAACTCCTTTTCCTCACTGAGAAGTCAAAGGTTTGATTTCCAAAACTGGCTTTTTCAACTCCTTTGTCAATAATACCCTGATCCTTCTGCCCCTCACTGCCCCATTTCCTCACCCATTGCCTCAACACCAGAGTGGTTCTTGTACACATAGTTCGCAACCAAGGGTATGCCACACACAATTTTATCACTACTGGCAACTGCAGGACGGTGGTGAATAAATTACCCCTAATAGTAAACACTAATGTCTGCAAATTTGTTTTTAAAAACTAAATTCAGTGAGAACCAGCAGTTAGTGTAATGGCTATGTCGCTGGACTCCCACGTAGTCAACCGCGGTTCGTGTCCTGGACCTGGTGGCTTAAAACTCATACCAGGCGTGTGTGCGTGCGTGCCCAAGATCCCGAGAGGAGAATGGAGGTGAAGGGATTGTGGCGTGGCCATCCCCCCTGGGGGGTGATTTCTCGCTTTCTGTCTCTATGTCTCTGTCTGTCTGGCGAGCGCACGCGCCCTATAGAGAAAACCTCTCAAAAAAAAAAAAAAAGAAGAAAATAAAATGAAATTCAGTTAGCGATATCCCTTTAATAACTCACATTTATGGTAGAAAAAGGACGTGTTTACAATTATAAGCCTGGGTATATCATGACAGTGTGTCACACAGGGAAACTAGACATCATATCCACTAGAAGAAAAAGGTGGGCACCTACTTTATCTAGGGTCTCATCCTTTGGAAGCAACAGAAGCCCAAGACACAGATTGCTTTGAACTTTAGTACCAAATAATTATGATATGGCATAATTCTTTTCTATATCATTTAATATAATTGTCTCATAATCTTTTCCAGCATCAAATTTTTTTTTTTTTTTTTTTTTTTTGCTATAGGGTGCGTGCTCTCGCCAGAGAGACAGAGAGAGACAGGGAGACCGAAAGTGAGAAATCACCCCCCAGGGGGAGTGGCCACGCCACAATCCCTTCTCCTCCATTCTCTTCTCGGGATTCTGGGCACACACGCACACAGAGACCATTTCTTGATCTATAACTTTTAACTATGAAGCTGTGAAATAAGATAATGTCTGGGATTTGTTTTAAAATTCACTTACAAAACCATAAAGATAGATGAAGTAAATATGGCAAAATTCTGATAATTATTGCAAGTAGATGATGGATATTTGAAATCTACTAGACCATTCTCTTTACCTTTGTCTGTTTGAACATTTTCATATGTATAAAAAATACTTCTGAATATAGTTAAACTATCATGGTCAACATTTTCTGTATTTCATTCTTTATGATTATGTTTTCTTTTAGATACAAATATACTACACTAAAATATATACATATATAAATTCAAAGTCTTCAGTGTTTTTTATACCCAGCTAGTGCAGCATATTTTGTGTCAAATATAAAAAGAAGTACCATCACAAAAATCTGATCCTGGGGACCAGCAGTTAGCGTAATGGCTATGTCGCTGGACTCCCATGTAGTCAACTGCGGTTCGAGTCCTGG